TTCTTAATAAATTAGATAAATTATATCTATTATAAAATATAATTGAAAGTCCGAAGTGCTATTTTTTCTTAATAGCATTTATTAATAATAATTAATTAATTATTATATAGAACCAAGATCGTACTGTTCAACAAACATTGAAGGAAACTCTTGAACAGGCAAAAGTTAAAATGCATAAAGAGCCATGAAACCAAGAGATTCGGCAAGCAATTACTGAATAGATTCTTATTGATAATTTGCTAATTAGTATAGTTAAAGAAAAAGGATACAAGAAAATGATGAAAATAGTTGATCCAGCATTTCAACTTCCCTCTGAAAAAAGGATCAAAAAAGAAATTAATAATGCTTATCCTCAAGCAGTTAAAAATTTGAGACTATTATTAGATAATACATGTGAATCAGCATCCTTAACAACTGATCTATGGACTGCTCGCAGTAAGCATGGATATATAGATATAACAATCCATTGGTTATCAAGTGACTTTAAAGTATATGATTGTCTTCTTTGTATAGAACGTATGCTGTATCCACATTCGGCTGAAAAAATTAATACTTTTCTAAAAAAAAAAGTATCTGAGTTTAGATTAGATGACAAAATAACTTGTATTACAACAAACAATAGGAGTAATATGGTTAAAGCAATTAGTTTGTGGGAGGAGGTTGAACATTTACCTTGTGTGGCCCATACTTTGCAGTTATCAGTTTTTCACGCTTTTAAAAAAGTAAATGCACATATTAAAAAAATAAAAAAATTAGTTAAGTTTTTTACTAAATCTTCTAAACAGAGTGAACGACTTGATAAGGCACAACAGGAATGTCAATTACATTCACAAAGCCAAAATAATGCAACTGATACATTAAATTCTGGTGATAGTAATTCGAATAGTTTATTATCAATAAATATTGTTACAGGTTCTGAAAAATCAATTTTACGTAACATAGCGGATATAAAAACTATATAGAATTCAAAATACCATTCATGGAAACAACTACTTAAACTGCGTAAAGCAGTTGAATGGTTAGATGCAACATTACCTTTATCTAACAATCCGGATGATCAAGCTGATGGTCGAAAATTAAAAAAGCTACTTCTTTCATCATACAAATGGGATCTATTAAACCAAATTATTACTTTGTTAGAACTATTTGATGATGCCACTACTTATTTTAGTGGATCAAAATATGCTACTTTATTTATTATATATCCTTTAATTCAGGCACTCAAATATACATTCGCTGAATTCAAAATAGCAAGTGATATTCAAAACAATAAACAAGATAATTAAAATAATATAAAGCAGCTATGATAATATCGTAAGGTAATATAGTAAATTAATAATTCACTATATTACTAGTATAATCAGACCCCTAAATACTACCCCTAAGTGCACGCCCTATAAAACATCTTCCTAAATGCATGTCTCCTCTTGGGCCCAACTCATATTAAGTCTATAGATTTTTACCTCCCTATATGCAATACACTCTAATTGTACATTTGCCTAAATTTTAGTATATAGTCTCGTCGCATTGCATTTAGGAAGGTCTGACTGTATATTGTTTATTATACACATCTTAATTCTTCATGGTTGTTTATCATTCAATAAGTTTTTCCACAACTTTTAATATCTCTTCATTATTTGATTCGTATCTTTAATGATTCATTTAGACAAATCTTCGTGACTCTATATTTACTTATCATATGATAAGTTATACTATATGTATGTATGTATATACATACATATATACAACTTTTTTAGTACTTATCATATTATTATTAGAGTTACCTTGATTCAAAATTAATAGAGATTGAGCCTTAAACAAATATATATCTTTATGTTAATGTTAATATACGGGTCTTATACTATTATATCTTAATAATCGACTAAGCCAATATTTTAAAAAATCGACTTAGTCGACTAATGCAATATTAACTTGAAATACAACTCCTAGATTAAAATCGAAAAAAGATCTCTCAGTATATTTAATTAACTATAATTAAATATTAAATTGATTAAATAGATGTACCTAACTTTCGCCATGAAGAATCTTTAATTAACTACTTTTAATTAAATATTAAATTAATTAAATAGATGTACCTAACTTTCGCCATGAAGAATCATCAAATGATGATAGTAATGATTCAGAATATGATAGATCAGAATCAACTAATGATTCTTCACCAAACACTAACACCATCAAGTTAATGCGCTATACAATCTATAATTCCTTATTTGATTATTGGAATGAACCATTAATGGTCAGTTTGTTGGCATCACTTTTGGATCCACAACTAAAAATGCTTTTTAGTTGGAATGAAGAAGCTCAAGAAAAGGCAAAAACTGAGTTAACTCGTCAATTCAAAAATATAACTGATTCAAATTATGAACAAACAACAACATCAATATATACTACTTCCTCAGGTGATAGCAATATTTGCTGCAATCGTTTACACTCCTCCATTTTTGGTACATCTACTTCCACCTATACTGCTTTCAATCCTTTGGCCGAATTAAAATGCTATCTGGATCCTACACAAACTCCTATTGCTGATGATAATGTAAATCCATTTGAATGGTGGGCAATTTGGAAAACAAAATTTTCTAACGTAGCAAAGTTAGCAAGAAAGTATCTATCAATTCCTGCATCATCTGTGCCTAGTGAAAGGCTGTTTTCAGATGCCGGTAATTGCATTACTGCAAAGCGTACACAGCTAGATCCCTAATTAGTGAATAAAATAATGTTTTTAAAAAGAAATTCTGATGTAGTTTCAATATTTTAGAAATTGTATATAAAAAAAAAAAAAAAAAAAAAAGCCAGGAAACGTGTGATGGAAATCAAATTATATTACTTATCGTTTACTTATCAATATGTTTACAATAAACCAAGCTTCAAAATTAAATATCTATTTTGGCCTTGAATCAAATATTAAAAGCATATGGATTTGATCTGGTTGGTATTTAGTTAGAGTTTCGCTTAAAAATTGATTACGAAATGAATCATGACTTTTAATTGTATGTGTATTAAATTCATGCTGAAGCATAGCGAGGACTTACATTCTGAGCAAACTGAATGAACGTCTATACAATATTTAGCAAAAACTATCAATAATATTTGAAAGAATATGGTCCTGTTATGATCTTCAGTCAATATAGCAATGCAGATATAAATTGTGAAAGGCTGTAAATCCTAATGCTAATAAAAAAAAATAAAATATACATATATACATACGTATATTGTATGAAAGAGATGTATTAAACAATTAGGTGTGATATATTTTTACGTCGAACGTCTCAGATTCTGATTTTCTAGTTAGATCTAACTAAGTATTTGTAATGCTCACAAAGAATTTTATCTATCATCTCTTTATACCATATGACCCGTTTTCACCTGGGTGACCCGATTTAAAGTTACACAGGTGATCTGGGTAATAAATTTGCATCCAGTTCGGACCTCTACAAATAATAATATATAAATTATATAATAATATAAAAACTATATAATTTTATAAATTATATTATTTTAATATTAAAATTATATTATTTAAATATAATAAT